TTAGGAGTCAATTAAGTTTACCTTCAGAATCCAGCACAGGTCTCCTCTTTGCTGTATTAACAGGAACGATGTAACTGAGTCACAAGGAGTATCAGCCCAGAAAACAGTGTTCACTCCCTGATTCTGTGTTTTCTTTTAGCCCTTCTAAAAACCCTTTAGCCCTTTGCACAGCAAAGCTGTGACCACAGTGAGGACAGAGTTGTCTTCTGCAAATTTAATCACTGGGTGGCTCCATGGACAGAGAAGAGCACAACCAGGAGAGGGATTTCTCCACCAAGGCTGACGATTTGCAAACATCCCTGATGGAAAAGGAGCAGGGCTGTGGGAGGCAGCCTGGGCAGGACAGGCCTCAGCAGGAAGCAGGAATGCCCAGCTGATGGCCAGGAATCACAGCCAATGTGCTCAGAATCAACTCGAGGCACTGACTTCATGCTGCATTCCCAGGTCCCAGCGAGTGCCTTGACAGCGATTCTCCTGGTTTTATTGATCCCAAAGGCTGCCAGGGAGGTTTTCATGGCCCAAATGTCAGGGAAATGGCACAGAAGATGGTCACACACATTACAGACTACAACAGGAGCCAGCTGATACCTGTGGTTTGAAATCAACAACTGCTCCTGAGCCCAATCCCAAACCACACAGAAAAAATGTGGAAACTTCACCAGGATGTGCTTCACCAGGGTGCTCCAGGGATAAGCATGAAGGTAACTCTTTGGCTGACTTGGTAGTTCAGCTCTGAACTTTAAAACCACATTTGCACCTAGCACAAAAGGCCACAACTTTCCCAAGTCCAAGACTCAGTAATTTGTCATCAAACACAAAACATCTCTGCACAGAATTCCTGCAGTCAGCTGAGCCATGTGATCTCCCTTCTCTGCCATTTCACAGACTACATTAGCCACAAACATTTTTCATGTCATACAAATGACTGTGACTGCAAAACCTTTTTTTTTTTTTTTTGATTCAACAACCAAAACCAGCTCCAATTTGGGAAGGCCTGTCACTGCACCAATCACTTTGGTGATGTCACAGTGCAAGGATTCAGCTCTCCCTGTGCTAATCCCAACTGTGCTCTGGAGCACCATTGCACAGCTCTGCCCACTCAACCAAACCAGAAGAATGCAAGGAAAGATGATAAAGCACAGGGAGATGGGGGTAAGAGCATCTCCTTTGCCACCACAAGGCTACTGAGCTCTTCCCAGAAGTGTATCAGGATGGCATTCCCGAATTTGGGCTGCCAGCCTGAAGCATGCTGTCTCCCTACTTTGTTTCTCCCAGAGCAGCCAACGTGACAGAATTCTCCTGGTATCAGGAAAATGGGAATATCCACCCAGCACACAGCTAACTACCTGCCCACTCAGCAGCTTCTGTACTGGTAAATGTTACAGGAATCTGTATCACAGAAATTAAAATACAATGGATACCTGGCTCTGCCATCACACCCTGATCTCTCTGTTAACATCATAATGACACAAAATTATCCTGAGGTTTTTCTTATTTGTGTTCCCAAGGGATGATAAGAAGTAATCTCCTCGTTGTTACAAACATTTTATTTTGAAAAGAAAGCTTTTATGCATATTTCAGTTGATCTAAATACAGTAGATCTCGGGTTTTTAAATCACCAGATAATATGCAATTATCTCAAGCTAGATTCTGATTCTGAAACAAGCTCTAATTAGCTCCCCATTTTATGCTGCTATAATCCTTTCTTCAACTCCCATGAGTGTTACTATTGCTAAGCAGCATGAGGTTAGGAATGATGGATGATACCCAGAAAGGAAGACAAACAAAAGGGAAATTCAAAATCCCCTGAGATCACCCGCAGCTGTATTGGCAAATGAAGATTTCCACATTAGGTCATAAGACGACCCTTACAGAAACACACACCAAAAAGGCACGTCCTCTTCCCACTGAGTATTTGCAAGCCTTTCATGTAGTATATAGGGAGTAGATGTCCTTCACAGAGGATAAAGAAAAAAGTGGATGTAAAAATTCATCTTTCCTGCGAGCAGCCACGGACGGAACCAACAGCACCAAAAAGGAAACTCTGTCTCAATCTCCTATAGATACGCAGGACAAACCCCCAAAATAAAACAACTAATAAAAGCTGCGTGCAGTACAAGTATTTAGAAAAATATCTGAGCCTTCTCCTGGCACATGGCAACTGTTCAAACCCACCCCGGCTCCCATCAGCAGTAATGCAACTAAATAAGGGCCAAATTCATCATGAAAAAATGCTGATGCAGTTGGGTGACACTAATTCAACTTTTTTTTCCATGTGATTTGGTCCATGCTTTTGACACATAAATCATTAAAAAGGCAGATTTACCCAAGGGCATTAGAGCATTTAGGTGGAAAGAAATACACAGAAAAAATGTTAGAAAAGGCACAGCAATACTATTTTTGACCACCTAGGGTACAGACACCGTTTTTGTGTAAAACATGGTCCCTGAAACTTGCACAAAATCACCAAGCCTTGAGGAAAGCTCACAGGGAGAAAATACAGGTATATACCTGGCTGTTTTTTATAAAATCCATGAGCACAGCTTCCAAAGAAGAAAACCAAGCCTGGCTTCCCTTTGCTACCTCAACATATATATAAATATATAAAAAATATATATGTTTATCCATTCATTATATGAAACATGGATGGGCCCATCTGTCCACACATGAAAACAGAAAATTACTAGACAAAAGGTGAGATTTTCATGAATGAGGTGTTAATCAAAACCTTATGATCTAGAAGTGCAACTAACTGGGTCAGAAATCCAGAAAATCTTGCTAGTTTGGTAGCATAGAGCCAAACAGTAATGAAAATACTCCCAGCTAATAAAAGTTTGAGTCGTTACTATGCATGTTGACACTCTGTACACTGAAGACCTTCTTGGCAAAGCACTCAGGAGCCACTGAGTGTATTAGTTTAATTTCACTTCTTTCCCTTCATGCATTCAACAAGTTCCAAGCCAATTATATTACATGGAAAAGGCTCCAGACCGTTCCTCGTTTCAAAATTGTGCTGATTAATTTCTGTTTTAAAATTACAAGTATGCAACCTTCCCTGCCTTGATTTTCCTGGGAAACGTCTCAGAAGACCAGAAAATTGGAGCTGTCTCTCTCTCTCTCTTTTTTTTTTTTCCTCCCTGCCCTGGAGTGATGGATCTTTCACAAATGCATAATTATTATTACCTTTTCCAAACTGTTTGCTGCATTTTTAATTACAGAACAGCTGCTAATAAAAGGAAATTACCAAACTATTCTTCCTTATTCAAATAACTTGGTTTTTGCTCTTTTGTTCTGCCTGGTGCCACAACCTTCCTCATGCCTTCACACAGGGAAAGGCACCAAGAAAAGAACATTTTGTACAACAATTCTATTTTTAATCCTCTGAGAGGAGGTAGAAAAGGGCACGAGCCCATTTTCTCATTTGTAAGTCGGCTTTAAGGAATGAAGGAGGACAATCATCAATAACATGATTTTATTAGCTGATAGGAACGTGTCACCTCACAAAATATTAGCTCAAGGGCAGGAACTGACAAACGACACTGGGAGTTGTGGGAGGGAACAAAATATCCCAGCAGCAAAACTGAACTTCCTGAAGGAAATCACTTTCAGCTCCCAGCGATCCCCCCGGGAATCCAGAGGGTGATTGGATTTTAATACTATGGGTTTGTCTTTCCATCTTTTATAATTAGAGCTAGTCATAAATATGAAGATTAGCAATAACAATGCAGCATTTCCCAGCTCCTCTGATTTCGAATTCCCCCTCAAATGGCTACAATTAATTACTCATATTTTCCACGCCGTCTCAGACATTTGTAACTGTGACACTCTTGCACAGCATTGATGCCACAAAAAAAAGTACTCAATGGCATGTTTTTAATGAACCATCACAGGAAATTTCCATGTTCCCTAAATGCTTGGCTATAAGTAACAATAGCCCTATGATTGCAAATAATTTTCTCCCATTTTGGTTTTGTTTTCATGGCTTGTTTTTACTGGGGGCATTTTTTCTTTCTTTTATGTATTTATTTTCAACTGTTCTCCTTAAGAAAAACGTGGACTGAATATCATCATGAATTTTCTTCTAGTAAAATCTTTTAGAATGCAAAATAGTTTCCCCAGTAGAGAGAAAAAAAACCACTTTGGTTGGGATATTTAGAGTAAAGCCAGCGAGCTGCAGAAAAAAAAAAAAAGAGTATTTCAGAATAGCAGAAGGGTGGAAGAAGAGCACAAGCCATCCCTGTCTGTGCCCTGAAATGCAGCAGCTCTCCAGCACAGGGCACTGGCTGTAAGCACAGAGCAGGGCACGGGTATTTTTCTGGAGTGTTTTACGTCAGTGAAGCATTTCATTGGTAAGAGGCTGTGTGGGTAGAGTTTGGTATCTAACAGCAGGAACACAGCTGTTCTCTCCTGTCCCAGCCTCCCTCCTATCCTGTGACCATCTCTAAAGCCTTCAGCCACTCACTGCCCTGATACTCAGCTTTGCTGCATCTGCTTTCTTATTTATTTTTATTTTTTGAAAATAGAAAGGAGAAAAAAAGTTCAGGTGGGAATATTTAATGAAGCTTGAAACAGACGTAACGTGGTCTGTTCCCCACCTTTGGATTAACAAAGCAGATTTTGTGCAAAGGAGAGTGGAAAAAAACCTATCAGCGAGGCAGCTGGAGTATGTGGATCACGTTACAAACCAAGGGCTTGTTTTACAGCCATTGTCACATGTCACATTGATAAGCTGAACTATGGCAAAAAAAAACCCTTCCAGAGCCAATGATCTCTAAGATCAGACAGAGTCTCTTTACCTAATATATGCAGCTAAATATGTGTGCTCCCTACATCTGCCATAGCAACAAGGAGAGAAGAAGGAATTAACTGCATTAATAAAAAAAAACTGAAGGGACTCCTGTATGATACAACAAAATGTGAGAAACCTCTCAGCATCAAAGCAAACGCAACAAAAGCACAGAGAATTATTTCAGAGCAAATCATTGAAACCAGCTGATTACCTGAGCTTGCACATCCCTGCTGTAGGGAATCCTGTAATGATGTCACAGAGTGAAGGACTAGATAAGAGAGGAGAGGAAAATCAGGGAACAATAAAAGGAGATGCCAAACCACAAACTAAACAGTAAGCAGGCTCAACAAATAGCAAAGTGCTGATCTCGGCAAGGGCTCGCTGCTCAGTTAACTCATGGCACAGAAAGGTACAGCCCAGGCCAGGCTCCAGCCTGGCTTTTCTGTGTCAGAAGGTATTAGGGGAAGAGACAGCCACAATAAAAGTGTCATTGCAACCCAGCATTCCCCCTTTAAAGCTCAGCTTTCCAGCTCACCTCCTGAGACAGCAATCGATATTCTCCCTGGAACAATCCAAATCCCCTGTGCAACCCTAGGAAACAGTGCACAACATTTTCCAGCTCTTGGGCCAAAATTTTTGGGATTGTGTGTCATATTCGTGCCTAGATAATATCACCCTAATGAGGAACTCGATAACTGCTGCTTATCAATTACACATAAATGTTCATAAACATTCCCAGCATGTCCCCTTAGGGACTGGCCGGGCTGCCAGGGGGGATGGTGCCACCTCCATAACACCTGGACCAGCACTGGTGCAAGGCTGGCTTACTGCAAAGAAAAAAGAGAAAAGGTAAAAGTAAAGAGAAGAAAGAAAAAGAAAAGAAAACAACAACAACAAAACAAAAATAAAAAACAAAAAAAAAAAAAAAATACAGAAAATAGAAAAAGAAAAAAAAAAAAATCTCCTCCTCCTCAACTCAAACAACATAGTGGAATTTTAATTACCTTGTCCTTGTTGCTGCCCTTGTGCAGGCAGGACACACTGTCCCAGCTCACCATTCAACCAGAGCTGCATACGAATAAATGGTTCTCGGCCTTTTTGGGTCAATTTGCTCCATGGCTTTGGCCTGGAGAGCATGTCACTGACACTTCCTTGGGACAGCCCCAATACCTGAAGTGAAGCAACCAAGAATGGCACGTTAACACACTGGCAGTGGAAACGGGGGGAATTTAAGGCATTTTGGTTTCCTTTATTGTATCGCTCAAATTGTTTGTATATGGACAATTATAAAAACTGTGAAAATTGGACAATTTTAAAAACTGTTTTCTGTGGATACTCGGATGGAAATGCTTTTCTTCCTGCCGTGCTGCCTTCTGAAGGAAGGTGGGTTTTTCCTGCAGGATCTGGGTGGCAGCAGCCTGGATTTGCATGCTTTTCATATTTTGTGTCAAACAGTTTCATCAGTTTTAACAGGAAAAACACTGAGTCCAGGCACACACAGGCAGATGAAACAGGCAATGACTGGCATGTATTTTGTTCTCAAACAAAAATAATTGGGACTTTTGAGACTAGGCCTATATTTGGTTGATTTTTGGGGGATGAATTATAATGATGTGTATTTTCACCTGTAGCAGTGGCTGCTCCATGTAAGTAAATATTTAAGAATACAGCTGAATGCTGGGAGGGGGTGGGGAGAATTTCAAACAGGCAGGATGCAATTACTTGCCTGGTATTCAGCACAGGTACAAGAGTTAAAAATCATACTTAATGAAAGCTGCCATGGGATCTTTAATGACCCTGAGAGGTCAGACTTTTCATTTTACATCTTAGTGAGAAGGTAATAGTGCGATGCCAGTTCCTATTACACTTTTATATTGATTTAATTCTTTACAGGAAGAAGAAACAACAAATGTCCACTTTTTACAGCCTGGGAGGGGTTTTCTGGTGGTTAGGGACCCTCAAAATCCCACGTGCTCAGTGCTTAGGGCTCACAATGTGAGAACTTCTGGGAGCCTTATCTGTAATCAAACATTGCTCTAAAACATTTCAGAGCACACTGAGATACTGAGCAGCAGGTATTAGAAATGACTTGGAATTCTTGACTTCAGACTAAGGAGAGTTAGGGGATTTTCCATGTGTTTGTTTTAATGCCCTTGTGCACATTTCCAAATAATAACGAAAAGGAAAAATGCTCTTGTGTCCATAATCTTCACTTATAACAAAGTTAAGACTCTCCAGTCATGACAATGGTATTACTCAAATATTCCATGAATTCATTACATTAAGCATGAAATATTGAGTCTCAGCAGCATTTGCTTCAGCTTTCAAGTTTTCTAAACTCAGGGCCTCACTCCTAATTCCAAGTGGCTGAAGCCAATCCCTGTATAAAAACGCTTGCAATTCCTACCACACAGGAAAACTAATACTTAGTGAGTTTTGAAATACTTCACACACGGAGCAAAACCATTTTTCCATAGGACCCCTCTGGCTCTGCACCTGTGTAAGGAGCAGAGGGCACAATCACAACACTGGTGAAACAAGAGAGAACCACTTCTTTACCTTTTCCCCAAAGATCCTTTGGCAGATGCCATTCTTTGCTAGCTTTTCCTTGACCTGCCGCGTTAGCTCTATCGTATCCACCTCCTGGTACATATAAATCTCATACTGCTCGGGTGTCAGTGGAGGAACCGAAGGTTTGGATGGCTTGGACAAGGACACGATAGGGGATGAAGGGAGGGGGCTATTCTGTGGTGTCTCACTGCGACTCGCCCCAGTCATGCTCAATTCAGAACTCTGCGAGTACGGAGATTCCGCGTTTGGCCACTCTTTCCAATACTCGGAAGAAGACGGTCCTTGGAGCTGGCTACGATCTGGCCTAGTCTGATTGCTGACCTTTTCTTTTCCACCACTGGCTTCCTCAACTTTTATATCTTCGGGAAGAGCTGCATTTCTTCTCTCATGCTGCACAGTATTCCACCAATGGTCCTTCCAAACACCACCACGTCCCAACTCATTTTTAACATGCCTCAACATACCCTGGGCAGAATCACTTATTCCATGAAGCTCTAAAACAGGTGCCTCCTGAGGCTCCTTTTTGAGCCCAGAGAGGTTCTGCAATGCAGAGATACTGGAATCAGTGACAGATGAATGTTTCTTCAGGGATATGGCCAAAGGAGAATAGCTGGAAACCGAAGACATTGCAGGTGTAGACACTAGTTTGGGGGACAGGATAGAAATGTCAGCTTGAGATAGAGGTGGTGTTTTTAAGGCAGGTTCAAGGGCAGCCTGCTGTGCCTCCATTTCCCGTCGGGCTTGTTGCAGAATGGATCGAATTGCATCATCAGAATTGCCACTGCTAGAGGCAGAAGGCGGCTGAGCCGGCTCAGCTATGAAAAACAACCAAAAGACTAAATGCAACAGAGGAAAATGCTTTATATTCAACACGTGCTACTGTAAACACTTCCCTGACAGGGATTAAAAAAAAAAAAAAATAAAAAAGGGGGGGGCTGAAATACATTTCTGCATGGGAGGGAGGAGTTTTCACTAAGCAAAGATTTGCACTTTTCAAAATAATGTAAGATTTCCTAAGTTCTTCACTGGAAAATTTTGAGAGTTGCAAAAGTGCTGGAGGTTTGCACGCACAGACTCAGCTGCACAAGTCTGGGATTGATCACTTGCCCTTCCACCATTGTAAAAATTTTCAAATAAATGCCTTTGAAAATCAACCCTTCCCTTCTTCCTCCCCCACCCCCATGTGGTCAATAACATTTTATAGCTGCATTTACAAAGTTATTTAACCTTTCACTTCACTCTTTTCTCCGCAAATGAATGTAACACACACTCAGAACTGAACACAGCTGCATTCACCTGGACAGACTATTCCAGTATAAATAAGGTGAGACCTTTTAACTTCAAAAACACAACACACAAATAACAACAAAGGCAGAACTTTAGAAAGAGATGATCATCATTATTTCACTTGACAAACTCAATATGCTCAATATGCTCCTGTTTCCTGTTTTCTTGTACCATGGTCCCAACCACTAAAATAAACAGCTCTACCAGAGCCAGGCTGACACCTGGCCATCACCCTCTCCCTTATCTGAAGCTCTAGGATGGAGTCACAGGTGCTTTCAGCAGAGATAACCCCCAAACGCAGCATTGCAGTGGGGAACCAGGATTTTGGTGGCTGTGCTGCAGCAGCTGGGGATGAGCAGAGACTGGAACGTGGGTGGGGAATTATCTCTGCAGAGCCAGGAGGTTTTGCAATGGCATCTGCTTCTATTTCAGTCTCCACTGAGGTCCCCAGTGCTTGGAAACCAGTTCTTCTGAAAGCTGCTCTGCAGAGAACAGGCAAGTGAAGCACCAGGTGGGAGCAGGGAACCCCACACTGCAAGGGGTGGCCTCAAAGTGAAATACGATTTCCAACATGCTGTGTATCACTCCAATAATAATAAGGCTCATCTGAATGCATTTCTGAATTTGCCTCCCTACATTCCTTCCTGTCACACACTGCAAAATACATGAAAAGCTATGGAATAGGAAAAAAAGGCAGTGATACTCTGCTGTTTTATCTGCTAGTTTCACAGGGAGTTTTGAGGCCAAATTAATATTTGAAAGGAAGTCTGAGACTCTCAGATGAAACATGCTACTGAAAAACATTCTTGCAGTTTCCTGCACAAGCCCCATATTTTTCTCTATGTAATAATTTCCTGTATAAAGTCATATTATTTAGATCATATATTAACTAGTGTTTTATACTCTGCCATGAGATTAACTTAGTTTTCATTTGAAAGACAATTATCCAAAACTGTAAATCAGTATTTACTTTAAAAAAAAGAAACAGAAGTATTGCTCAATAATTTCTACTTCAGCCCAATAGCAGTACTGGGAACTCTTAAAGCTGAGTGGGCCACAGACTAGACAGAAATGCTAATTATATGACAGCATACAATGAGAAATTAAGACTTATCTCAGGCTAAGAGGGATTTTTTGGGAAAGGGAATGTGTTTTGGATTTGCCAGTTCATTCACTGTAACCAAAAATAAAGTCATCTAAGAGTCAGGACTGAGTGTGCCTACATGAGTACAGGATGTACCATGGTACTGGTAATTGCTGCCTGGAGTGTGACCTTCACCCCAACAAATCCATCCAGCCCCTCTCCTGTGCTGTTGTGTCCCTGGGGCCTGAGAGAGACAGAAGAGAAGAGAAAGCAGGAGCTGTTCCCTTTCCAAGGAGAAATCTGGGAGAAGAAAGGATTCTGTGGGTTCCCCTCAGTGACTCCTGCAGGTCTGGAGGGCAGCCAGCAGCTCAGAGCTCTCTTTATCACAGGGATAAAGGTGTTCAGAAATCCCACAGGGAGCAGGGCAGAGCAGAGACCCCGCCATGCCAGGACATATGCGACCTTAACTTGGGATGTCTCAGAGACAGAAACAACTCCACTAAATAACAATAAAAATCTCCAAAAAAACTCTTCAAACCTACACTGAAGCTTTTAAGAATATAATTAACTGACCAGAAAGCTCATGGCAATTGTTTTAATTAAATTCTGCAGTAAAAGCAGGCAGGGACAAAATGAGCCTGTACCTGTTTTCTGTACTTGCAGCTCCCTTTTGGCTTGTTCGAGAATGGATTTGATGGCTTCATCAGAGCCAGACTCTGCGGTTCGGATTCGTGTGGTTATGTTACCTGGGGAGGAAAACACAACTAATGACACCAGGAAAACTCTTCTCTGGCTGTTTTTGTAACACAAAGACACACTCTATGTGATACATGGCCAGCACAACTTGCACAGGACTTTTACCAATATTTACAACACACAAAAATGGTACTTAACACAATAAAAGCAAAATATCCTTGTTGTGCCTGTCTCTAGCTGCCCCAGAATAGAACACCAGAGGAAGAACTAGGTGGCCATATATTCCTTTTCTGTGATAACATATATAGATCTAGTCTTTTTCCTTTTTTTTTTTTTTTTTTTTTTTTTTTTTTTTTTTTTTTTTTTTTTTTTTTTTTTTTTTTTTGAGGGGAAGAGGAAACAGAAAGGAAAAGAACTGGAGGGGAAAAGAAGAAAGCCAAAAAAATAAGCCCAGGATTCAACTTAAAAATGGCATCAGCTGCTAGGCAAAGTAGGATGAGTATATATTCAGCCCAAAACAGAATTAAAAAGTAACTAGATAAAAGTAATTTTTAACTTTCTAGAGGTTAATACATTAAGAGAAAGAGTCATTTAAACACAGATACCATTTGAAGTACTCTCCAGCTAAGAGCTATTCCTTGGCTGTTTGGTTTCGCTTTTTTTTTGTTTTGTTTTGTTTGTTTGTTTGTTTTTTAACCTCTAAGGGGAAGAAAAGGAGGAAAAACTGTGAGTGTTACTGCACTTAACTGCATTTTCCATTATGAGATTATTGTTTGAGGTAATTTGTGACTGTAGTCAAAATAACTACAGACTTTTGATGTACCTGCCTTCGTTTTGCCTTCTTTCTGGTCTCACTGAAGAAAAATTCTGCAACTAATCTATAACCAAAATGTGCAGACTTCCTGTTCCGTGATAATTTATGGATCTGATGTTCACTTATCTTGTTGTCCTTTTCATATATAATACTGAACTAAGCATCACACTAATTTAGCAGTGTATTAAAGTGGAATTTGTCAGCATAAGCCCCATGAGAAGAAAGAAGTAAACCTAGAGCAGAAGCAGTATTACAATGATGTTGTAACTGTGCAACATTCTAACTCCAAAACCATAAAAATAGCAAAGAGAGCATTTCAATAGATCTGATGACTTTATAAAGCCACTTCCATCACTTCTCTCTCTTTATCTGTGTATGCAGGGGGGGATGGGAGTGGAAGAACTATCCAAACAGGGTTATGTTAGTACAGCAGCAGCAGAATTAGAAAAAGCAAAGTGTTCATCTAACCCATGGTTTGTTTTATACTTACTGTCTGTTTTTCTATCAGATTCCAGGCCAGAATCAAACTGCAAAGTTTTAAGGAAACACACAGCTAAAGCACACTCCACTTCCTAGGGATTGACTGCAAAGAAAAACACCTGCCTGTGACGTACCTTCAGACCCATTTCTTCGTTTCGGTACTTCCTGAAATAGTCTGTTCAGGTTCTGGCCTGGATTCTCTGTTGAAAAACAAGTTTGGTAAGAACAAAACAATCAGGGGATGGTTGCTCTGACATCACGGGCTGTGTGACATGAGGAGCTGGCAGCCTGGCCCTGAGCTCTCCTGGCCCCTCGGGCCCCTGAGCAGGAGCAACTGGCTACTTGGGAAGAAGCAAGGCTGGCTGATTTGTTAATAAAGATTACAGCTATGTTCGGAAAGGAGATTAGACAGATATAAATAAATGTCTAGAGATACCAAAAATGAAGAGGTTAAAGATGGGCAGATAATCCCCTCAAGTACAATCATCAAAAGGAAGAACAGATTATAAATCTAACAGTGTATGCTTCCAATTAAACAAAATCTAGGAAAACCCTGCCTGTCCTTTCCAATATTTCTTGACTGTAAACAACTTACTTTTCAGTTTCTCTAAATGTAAATCTCAGCCTTAAGATGAATCACAATGAAATGCATGTTGCTTCTTAAAATCGCTGCCTTAAATATGCAAAGCTGCTTTAAACTGGGATTGTGTTTTAATTACTCATCTCATGCATCACCTACCCTATTTTGTCAGAACACTTTGGGGAAAAAACATAATCACACAAGACACAACAAAAGCCTGGTCTCCGTAAATAACCTCAAATAAAAATCCCCCAAGTATTTCTGAGGGCTGATACCCTGAGTAGCTGCTGACCCTTTTTGCTCTGTGTTTGGGAAGTGAGGGCTGTGAGTGTCCCTGCTGCTCGCTCCTGCTGACAGGCACCAACCAGTGGCTAAAAAAAGCATAAGCACAGATACGAACCTGCCTGAGCACTGCAAGGCAGGGCTGCAGAGCTGAACGTGCTGCACCTGGCACCTGACCTGGTGAGAGCAGCAGCAGCAGTGCACAAACAGCCCCGCATGGAGAAGCTCCTGGTTTGGAATGTTTGGAACTAAGAGGAGCAGGGGGCTGGGGAGCTCTTACCTCTTTGTCTGCCCTGGATGCTGCGAAGAGCCAGGATGTTCTGCTCGTCCGACAGGAACTGCTTCATCTTATGAAATGGCTCCTTGCCTCTCACAGTCAGTTTATTCCATGGCTTTGGCCGGGCCAGGATCTCACTCACAGACCCTTGTGACAGTCCCAACACATAATGTCCAAATATCCGCTGTCCAATATTGTGCTTGATCAACTGCTCTTTCACCTGACGTGCAATTTCGGCCGTGTCTATCTCCTCGCCTTCGGAGATGCTCCCAGCACTTTCTGACTGGCTGGGAGATGGGGCCATGCCATTTACATCCGGGCTTTGTTGTAATGGACTTTGGGAAGATATGGAGTTTGTGCTGTATGGACCTGTTGGAAAAATCATGCTTGTGCTTCCTGCTTCCTGCATTGCCTTGGAGTAGAAGGACTGCATTAGCTGTCGCTGGAGGAGAGAGTTTAGTGCAAATTTTCCTGTGGAGGCCAGGGGTAAGCTGGGGCTCGCCAAGGATGAGCTGAAAAAGTCTTGACTTAAACCCGTTGGTGAGAACTGGTGTGTACCATTAGTATTGGAAGCCTGCTCCCCCGCGTTGCGGAGCAACTGGGAAGGAGGGGAGGCCGGCAAGGTTGCAGGACGCTGACTCTCAGGCTGGTCTTTCCCTTTTCTCCTGGCTGACCCTACAAGGAAGGTCAAACATAATGCATTATGGGGGGTCAAAGAGGGAAAAACCAAGATAAAAAAATGCAAAGTTTGCCCCGCAAAGGGAAAAAGTGCAGATTGACACGGGCCAATGGAGTGGCGGTGGGAGTTTTGGTTTCGTTTGTTTTTGGTTTGTTTTCATTTGTTGGGTTATTTTTTTTTTAATTTTTATTTTAAATTTTTTTTCCATGATTGAAAATTTTTAAGCCAAACAAGGCCCCCAAAACAAACAACATGCATTTCATGTTTGCACCTTTCTTGTATGTTGCAGCCTGGAGAATCCCCCTTACAGACATTAACACTAGAACAGTTACATGAAGTGCAGCGATACAGTTAAATAAATGCAGTTACAGACAGCAAGTCTCTCTGTTGTCTCTCATTCAAGATATGACTCATTGGACCTGACTGAACCCAAATGCAGCAAACATTTACATTTTGGAACAAACCAATTTGAATAAAGGAATAACCATTAGGTGGATGCACCAAGATCGCTCAGTTAAAAGTCATAAAACGCTTCAGAATTCAGTAATCCCAGGGCCAGTGGCAACTTTTAACTTTCTTCCAGCTGCAAAAACCATCATTCAAGAATCTGGAAATTCCATGACTTGCCATTTAAAAAATGTGCACACAAGATATAAAAGCCCACATTAGGAAAGCCAAACAGCAAACACATTTCACTGGAAAGAAAGCATTTTGCTTTCCCAAGCTGACCTGCTGGTGGTATATCCAAGTGTATCAGACAGGGAGACTGTGATCTACATGCAAACACTTTGCAAAACACTGTGTGTGGGGGAAAGAGATGGATTTGTTCCCAAAACAGAAGACAGCCTCAAACACTGGTACAGCCTGTAATGCCTCTTCCTTAACCTTTATAGACTCGCTAACTTCTACTTCATTATCCAGCCTATAAAACTACAGAAATCCAACGTTACGCAGTGATCCTGTTGCTTCTTAATCCTCCTGCCATGCATTAGCTCAGACACTCAGCTCTCACTCAGCCCTCCCTCCCATCACAGAACAGCAGAGGCACCCAGAAGAGCCAAAATTTGGGTGGACCTACCGCTCAGGTCGCTGTTGGTGATGCGCAGCGTGGCGTTCTCCGACTGCAGCGTGCGGTTCTTCTCCAGCAGCAGCACCTCCAGCGGCTTGGATGCATCCTAGAGGAAACCAAAGGGAGAGGTTTGTTTCTCAAAGCATTGAGAATCTCACTCAGGCACTAAAAAGGATTTCAGAGGGAAGAAAATTTTAAAAAAAACAAGGGCTTGACTGGTCTCTGACGGCAGCGAGGGAATTTGCTGGGCACAGATCGGCAGGAATCACTCCTGGCTCTGATGGGAGCCATGGAAGAGATTCACTGTTTAATTTTCACTGTAAATCATTCATCAATTCTGCATTATTTTGAGATGTGTAATGGAACGTTTTCTTAATCCTACTTATTTTTAAATGGTCCTGGCACGCTTTTAGTTTAAAAGCTGTAGACTTCTTTTAATCTGATTAAAACAGGAGTTAAGATTATATTATTCCTTCTAGGTCAACTGACCCAAGCTAAGCATTTCCTTGACATGCTGCATTTCAGCAGAAACAGTTTGTTCAAATAACATCAGTCAGAGAAAGCTGCTATTTACTCTCCCCTAAAAATCTAACCTTTGATCATTAAAAAACCCATTGAAAATTAATCCCAGGATATCGACATTCAGTTTGGATTTCAGAAACAGGAATTTAATTCATAACCTTTAAGCTGAAGTAAGATTAATTTGCTGGAACAGCAGAGCTTTCTCAGTACTCCAAGGTTTGTTTTCTTTTGTGAAAATAAATTTTCAAGGCTAACAAATACTTTAAAATGCTGAAGTCCTTGCACAGTGTGCTGCCCGTACACCAACTCCAGTATCTTTAAATTACTCAACTGCACAACATTCTGGTTTACCCACTCCAGCACAGCTGAAATGTCACTTTGTCCTTGACCACTTAAATGAAATTAACAGGCAAAAAAAAAAAAAAAAGGAGGTCTAGTTCAGCTTTTTACATAAGAAGACATCAGGAAAAACAAGGATGGACCCAGAAGCCTCAACATTAACAGGAAACTGTCAATGTCAACAACATGGAATTGCAAGACAAAATTTTTTGTTAAGCAACTGAATAAGTAAGAAAACAAAAGTAAGTTCAGTACCTGTGCACCAGAGCTTTCAGATGGTGCAAACTCCATGGATTTCAATATACTGTGGAAGGCAGAAAAAAGAAATTATTTTCTAGTTCTCCTTTTCATAACAACTCCACTAATGAGCATTAACATTATCATGTCCTGTTCTCCAGCAACACCACAAGTGATGACAACTTTCCTTGCAGTAACACAATCTCCTAATGAATACAGAATAACTCCTCCAACCAGTTATTGGATAAGAAAATTTTCTCGAGCATCATCTAAATCATTCTACATGCAATCCCACCAGGCCAGTTTAAAGCGTAAATTTAAAGGTTAATAAGGATATAACATTTTAAGCTGTCAGAAACAATATAAATTTATTTGTGAAGCTGGAAGGGAATGAGGAAATTGTAGCAAAGCAGCAAAACAGGGGAGTCACCACCACAGTACAGGACTTTACAGAATATACACCAGCTCACCAGCAAGGAAAATATGCACAAATAATCTTCCCAACCAAGGCACTACAGACTAAAAGGCAGTTTTTCATTTTAATAACCCCCTCATTCTATGGCAAAGGGAAGACAAAATGGCCCAATATTTCTTAAGAAATATGAAAGATCCAAATATTTATAAGTACATTAGGAGAAGAATCTGATAGTCTCATTGTCAATATTTTATACAAATAGTGAACGGTCAGAGGACGTCTCCCTTCAGAGGCTTTCAGTTAGAGCTGTGTCATCTGGCAAATCAGAACCTTACAAGAATCCAGACTTATTACTGTACTTTGTTGGATAATTTTTCTAAAACCAGCCTGCTGCAGGCAGGACATGAACTTCCTCAGACTGAAGCAATAAATGATTTCAGCTTCTTACTGTACAAAGACAACATTCATTTGGTGAAGAAAAACACATAAACACATATAGATGGTGTTTATATAGCATTTGTCATGTATAAAGCACCAAGAACTCTGTGAGCAGGAACAATCTGGTTAATCATGTATTTAACTGTATTAAAAGCTGTGGATTATGTATTAAAGGTTTTGGAACTGCCCCTGGATCCCTGGAAGTGTCCAAGGCCAGGCTGGATGGAGCTTGGAGTAGTGAAGGTGTCCCTGCCCATGGCAGGGGGTGGGACAGGATGAGTTTTAAGGTCCCTTCCAGCCCAAAACATTCAGTGATTCCATGAAATGTGGAAACAGATAAAAAAAAAAAAGGCAAAAGTCCAGTATTAAGACACAGGAACTAATTCTGGATGCCATGATGAGTTAGCCAGGCACCCATTAACTGCCTGAACCTGTCCCTGGATTAATCCAGAGTTAGATGTGCTTTAAGAGACACTCTGGAAATCAGGTCTAAAGTCATAGCAACCCCAAGGGAAAAAAGTAATTTTGAGAAAGAGATCTCATGCATCCTGCATCTGTGCATACTCACTGCACACAGCGTTAATTCTGACAGGCATCCCTAAAATACAGTAATTAATGAAACCACAAATTTCTGGCACTTTCATTACATGGCATCACTCAGTGTCACCTCTTGCCTGGCTGTAGGGTGGAGCCATCACCCCATACAAAGCACATAAAGTGATGTTGTGAAGACTCTATGTGAGTACAACAGCTCAGCCACGTGCAAAAGCAACTCTTTTGTGCTATCAGTGGACTTGTGCCAGTCAAGAGGACAGGATGTGGACTAATGGCTTGAGTTCTCAGAGACCCTGACATCACTTTGACGTCACAGGTGTGTGACTCAGGTGGCAAATCCCCAAAAGCCAGTACTTCTAGGCACAGCTCTGCATCCTGTGGCATTCCCATTCTCTGGACAGTGAGACATCATTCTGTCTCTCAGGAGAAGCACAGAAAGGAGAGAAAACAATCTTTATCTCTGTTCCTTTGTTTTCCCCGTGTGGAATGTGGTGTGGAGATTGTTCACCTGCAGGGATTGCTGGGTTGGATTCTGGTGAAGGTTGGTTGGGGTCAGTGACCAGTGGATCCAGCTGTGGATCGGGCTCTCAGCACAGAGTCACGAGTTTGTTTTTTTGTTAGGTAAGTAAGAAGTAAGTATGTAGAATAGGAGAGTCTCTCTTTAAATAGTATATTAATGTAATATAGAATAGTTTTAATAAAGCAGATCCTTCAACCTTCTGATCTGGAACCAGACAACATAATTTCTTCCCTGAGTCAGGGTTGCCTTTTTTTACTATAGCATCCCAGGACTCCAAGGTGCTGGGGGAGATGAAGGCACAGAGACTCATCTAGGGAAAACCCCAGCCAGGTCTCTGTTTCCATGAATTCTGCAGGGAATGGCTTCTGCAGGGATAACCAGTCCTAATGCACATCCTCATGATGCCCAAATGAGGAGACTCATCTGAATTAAAAACCCAGTTTGAACAGTAAATTATGTCCCATGGGAAATCCCATTTCAGTTCAGACCAATTGTGACCCCACTTACCACACGTGGGTTTGCCATGTGGAGCAATCCAGCAGCATTCCAAACACCTTCCTTCCTCCTGGATGAGGCTAAACCAGAAAAAGCTGCTCTCTCCCAAAAGGAGCAGATGTGAGTGGTGCCCTGACCACAAAGTGTTGCCCCCAGAACCAGGCTGACAATGGTTGGAAGCATAAACCTGGTCATGGTTATATTTGGTTCCCCACACCAAAAATCTGCCTCTAAAGCCCTGATCTTGTCATCCCTCTCCTTGCACAGGCTGATGATTTTTGATTCTGAGCACCTGCTGCCAGCTGGGACCTTCAGGAAGGATCCTGAGCCTTGCAGCAGCTGTTTTTCCAGTGAGATTGGTGCATTCAATGTGTATTCAAACCTTGGCTGGAAACCTACTGACCTCTGCCTACCTGGAGGGGATTCTTTGCTAACTGAATTAACTTTCTGACAATTTCACAGGTAATTTCCTATACAGTTAAAACACAAAATATACTAAAAATCAAGCTGATGGCACCTCTAATTGCCCTAAGAGGAATATTCACTACAGCAGGTTCATTTTTAAAAGAATGTAAAAGTTAAACATGTCAAAAATGACTCTCCAAATGTGTCACAAAAGACACATTCTCCTCAGGAATATGAGGAAGCACAACATTTCTTCTTTGGATTCCAGGAATATCTTTGCCCATGAGATCTTGACTCAATCTGTGGCTCAAGATCAGTTACCTGCTTTTTAAAGGAATGATCTTGTGACTTGAATCTGCACATCTAAGAAAACTTGAAAGATCTGACTGTAAAGCAAAGTGTGCATTGGGACAGCTCGACTTTCTGTTCTTCTGATCCCCACTGCAAAGGCAGCAGGGTCAGCGCTGTCGTGCTACTTGAGAGGGAACTGAAGGCACACAGAGAGCTCTCAGATCTCAAAAATAGGTTTAGAAGTCATTGGGCACAAAAGCCAAGGCAGAAAGTGAAGAATCCTCCCATCCCACATCTTGACATGGGCCCACCTAAGTTCCTCCGGAGGTAGAAGTTGGCTGATATTGAGACCCTCAGCCTAGCATGCCTCTAACATCCCAGGAAGGATTACAGAAAATACATCAGTGCCACAAAAGTCCTAAAAAATTCATTCTATTCCTGCTGTACTGACAAGATCTCCTTTCTCTAGGTGCAAATGTTATAAGCAGTTCATTTCTGTCAGCGTTTCAGGGCTCAAGGCAGGTGCAGCAGGATTCAGTGTGAGGGCTCCAGATTTACAGCAACAGACTTCTCCCAGCCCCATTTACAGCAAGTCTCACTTCAGATCTGACTGTGACTGCCAGGGGATGCACACTGAGCCTTCAGCACACCCTCTGCATCAGATGGAGCATGGGAATGGTGTGAAGCAGCTGCTTGGAGGAGGCTGCAGCAAACATCCTCAGTGCTCTCTCGGAGGGTCTCAACCCTCAGACCATCCCACAGGATGGTGGTGGACCCCAGGGTCCTTACAAGCCAACTATCAATCCACAAATTAGGGATCTAAAAGCTGGAACAGCTGGGAAAAAAGGGTTAATTTACTGGCACCCAACCAGGGCCACTTCCAGCAGAGTCTCCCATTTATTTCACTGCAGGCTCATCCTAAGCAGAAGCACCACATGAAGCCTCCTGTGACACAGCTTCTCTGATCTGCCTTTCCACCCCTGCCCTCATATAAGTCAGTGTTGCAAAAAAAAAAAAAAATTCAAATATTGGTATTATCACCAGGAATACAGGATTTGTATTTAAAGTACAAATGCAAAGTAAGCTTAAATGAGTATATTCAATTAATATATTGGGTTCTTGGCACCTTAAGTCTGGCTTTAAAGTCCTGGTCCTGTTGTATTAAACCTTTACATTAAAGCATGTAGGATTCAAAACTCATTTGTAGTTTCAGCACATTTGCATTTAATATCTAATGCAAGAAGCTGGAAGGTTGTGACCTTATTCCCATTCATGCTTTACATAGGAGGACATAAACTGGTTAAAACCTGAAGCTGTTCCCTTAACCAAGGAGAGGACGTGGATGTATTTACCCCTAATCACTAAATGATGATGCTATTTTGAGCCCAGGTAATAATCAGGTAAAATGACCAAATAAATGGTCAATTCATTTCATTTCAGTGAAAATTATACCCCTACATCAGGGTGTGCTGCAGCTGGTGGTGAACCAGAACCTCAGCCAGTGTGGCTTGAATAAATCAGCACCAGGGGCTGGGCAGTTGTGGGGCTTGCAAATCCAAATCTGCTTTCCATATTCTCCAGGGACGTGTAAACAAAAGCACATGACTACCAGCCTCATCTGAAATACCTCATTAAACCAGGGAATGGGTTATTTCAGCCTTTTTAAAACACACACAGAAATGCCAGAATGATGAAAGAAGAGATGGGAGTTTCTCTCAGTTATTTAAACCTTGACACTAAACATATTTCCAGTCAGAAAAGTTCTCTTCTGAACCTGACAGCTTATCTTGTTATAGTTTAAAATGAGGCTCTTTTAAGTCTCTTAAGAAAATCCCTTGAAATAGGAAGAGGCTGTTTGTGGCTTTAGTTTAAAACCACAATATATTAGCAAAAATATACAGTGAAACAAGCCCAGCATTAAACTGGTAAGTGCTTAACACTGGCAGGCAGGAACAGAGAAAAGGTGCCATGGCCAAAAGCTCTGTGTGTCATTTTTGGTCCACATTACCCTCAGCTGTTGGCTGGAGACTTTTAAAAGCGTGGTCCACCTAAAACACCACAGATTTTGAAACGTTTTTCCCTATGTGGACAATAGTTTTAGTGGCTTTTCTTCGTGGACATGTATTTTATTTGCTATTGTGATCCTCTGCTGCAACAAAAAGGAACACTCTCAGATACAGCAGTTCCACTGGTTCTGGATGCAATTTCTGCCAATATTCCAAATTTCCTCGTCTTTGTGGTTTTCACTGAATTCTTTATTGTTCCAAGAACACAGATTTGTGGCTTCATTTAACAAGCACCGTTCAACCAGAGTTTGTGAAAAAATTATGTAAGCATTTAACACTTACTTTAATTCTTTCTTAACCTCTTCATAATCAGCCTGTCCTTTCAGTTTTTCTTCCAGTTGCTTTAAAAGAGAGAACATGGATTTAATTATTTACATTGTTTTTTTTTCTGCAGGCTTTGAAAATCATCTTCAAATTATTCCATATATACAGCAGCGCACAAGTGAGGGTTAATGACTCATACCTAATTTACATATATTAGAAAACAAACTATAACCAATTAAACGTAAACACAATTATACCTCGCTCATCCTTTGTTTACAGAGTGCCAAGCACGACAGAATTCAGTGGGTCCCAATTTGCCTGTTTGCAATGTCACTGTCATGTGTTCAGGTATGAAGGTATTAAAAAAAAAAATGGGGCAGCTGAAAATTTCAGTGAGATTGAGTAAACAAGCAGGAAGCTTTGGCACATATTGTATTCTTAATAGGACAGTTCTTGATAACCTTATCTACATGATAAAAAGAACAGACTGAAGAAGCTGTTGTTGACTGGAATGCCTTAGGCTTGGAAGGCTCCTACAGTGCCCAAACAAAACAGCTGTGCCAGAGGTTTCACAAGCATTCCTGCTGGCAGCCACCAGAGAGGGAGCACTGAGGCCACCCCAGCAGCTCCTTTGCTCTGCCCCACCCAGGGTGGCCTCGATGGCTTCTCCTGGCTGGGAGGATGCCCAAAGGCTGAAGCAAACTCTCTGCCACGATCCAGAACACAATGCCACACACTTGGACCTTACCCAGCTCAACAAAGTGCTCATCACTACGGGGCAAATGCTTCAGGAGGCCTAAAACATAGTGATACATAATTGATGCTGTTATGTTGCTTGCAGGAGCCACACTCATTTCAATCATTTCTTTGCTTAGTGCAGGCACACCTGATCTAAGCAAAGAACAGAACTTACTGCCTTGCAACTTCCATGGATAAAGTCAGGCTATCTCTGCTTCAGTTCATTTGTGGTGTTAAAATTGGCACAGAATCCCAAAGGTCATGGGAAACAGAAATAACACAAGGATGTATCAGCTCAAAGATAGGAAAGGAATATATGACATGAAATAGGAAAATAGGACTTTATGTCCAGGAGAGGCTGCCTTCAGGGGAGAAGGGAATTCAAGATCCTACACCCACTCTGGGGCTGCTCTTTGGATGCAGGAGGAGGGCAGGGGAGGGCTGCTGGGAACTTGGATAATTTTAGCAAAGCTGTTTAAAATGCAGCCCCACAGAGCTGTGCAGCAGCCCAGCTATGGGGGCACAGAGGCAGGGCTGGGGAAACAGAATTGGGAACCTGTTCCCTGTGCTGTCTTCCCTAGTAAGTCAGTGTGTGGGTATCACAGAGCTGTAAAATCCCCAAAATGATGCAGCACAGCACCCACAGGACAGCAAATCCATGGGTTGAGTCATCATCTTGGTAATTTAAGTAAGTCTTCTTCAGATACCAACAGCAGCATGGTGGGGCTTTGTGGGACCAACAGCTATTCTACCATTTTTAAAGAATTTCCTTTAATTTAAAGGAATTTATTTATATATATATATATATATATTAAAGGAATTAATTTAAAGGAATTTAAATAAAATTTAATTGAAAATTTAAAAATTTAACTTAAAGTATTTCCCTTTGCAGCTCTCACGTTAATGACATGTCTGCCCTGCCATTAGCATGGCTGTTTAGGAGCAGTGACAAAGTGACACCCAGCTACCAATCCACAGCCCTCTCAAGGCCCTGTTCCTGCTGTTTGCCACCACAGCCCAGCACCCTCAGCACTGCTGAGAGAGGAATCTCCCTGCAGGAAAAGCCAGGCCCTGCTCAATGAGCAGCTCTTAATGGATCCCAGGAACTGCAGCTCAGTGTGGAATTTGCACTCAGGGATATTGATGGAACAAGTGGCCTCTTAAAAAGGCTTCATATCTTTTGTCATCAGTGGCTGTGCAGTCATCCCAGTTGTGTTAAAAATAAAAATGAAGTGTCTTTTTAGCTACAACTTTTTTTTTTTTTTTTTTTCACCTGGAATAAATACAGGGCAAGTTTTAGTAGTTTTTTTTCTGGCATGTCCTGCATTACCAAATTCCAGTTATTGTCTGGAACTATAGGAAGCACTGACTTTGCTTTAGATAACAGACACAGTGCTTCAGGAAAATCCTGGTTGATGTGACCAGGAAAATCCTACATATATTAAAGATGTTGGAGGTTTTGACAATTTACAACATGTTGAAATCTCATTATGGGAATGTACTATGTAGTCCCAGGGCCTGAGGTCTCACATTTTGAGGAGGGTGAGCTACAACAGGCCAGGAATTCAAGCAGCTTTTCAAGCTGCAGTTCAAACTGAGCAAACAGAGTGACTTCAACAAGGCACCCAGGTAGAATTTTTAGTGCATCAGGTCAGGCTGGAGAGGGATCTTTTTACATGAAGATTAAAGATGAGTGAGCCAGGGAGCCCTTGGTACTGGGAGGAGAATCAGCACCACAGCTGAGAGTTCTCCAAGCGGTCACAGGCAATGGGAGCACCTGCCAAACCCCAAGACATCCTTCTGCTCTCCTTGGTCTTGTCACTTTTCCTTCTGTCTCTGTTTGATACTCTACAAATCCACTGCAATTCATCCTTTCCTTAACTCTGTGACTGCTAACATTTTGGGTCTGGAGCAGAGGAGCTTTTACAGCAGGAATAACTGGTAATTTACACCAGTTCTCAGTATAAAAAAGACCAGAAGAAATTTAAAACAAGCAATACCCTGGATTAATAGGTTAGTTACTTATGCAAGGGTATGCTAAGGAAACAGCCTTTTGTAGAAACAGAGATAAACCACAGAAAACCTAATGACTCCCATTTAAATGAATTCTGTATTAAATGTAATTCTAGGCAGGGAAGTGCTATACCCTGGTAGAGTATTTCTAGAAAATTTAGGTACAAAACCCAGGTAGAAAAATAAAGAAAAAAAAAAGAGATATTGACAAAATGCAGCTGTTTTGGACTCTTAGGTACTTGCTACAGCAGTATGACAACCAGCAATATTTTACTTTGGATTGTATAAAAAACACACACATCCATCATTCCCAAATACCTAATATAGAGATTGTTGCCATGGAAAATCTGCACCTAAACATCTACTTTACTAAACAACATAAACTAACAACTGAGGATGCAGTGCCTGTGTAGAAACAGAACATTTAGGCACTTGGCATCTTCCCAGTCAATGACTGTTTTAAAATGTATTAGTATGGTAATTGTCTCCAAGAACCCTGTAAAATGCACAGAACATGGGATAACAAAGGTTCAAGCTGTGAGACAATCTGGAGGAACTAATATCTTGCACTAAATATCAACCTGGTTAATTCAGACAAAATATATTCTAACGACCTCCAACACACAAAAATGCAGGAGCCAGAGGGCAGAAGGAATGGGCTGGTGGTTTTTCTGCACATTAAATTTGCAAATATCCCATGCTAAAGAATCATTTTGCATCTGTGGTGTGAATAAACCCATGTCAGAGCATGCAGAGATTGGGTCCCTCCTCATGTTATATGGAAAATACAAACACTACTGTATTATTAACTGAACTGGCACAGGTAAATAGCAGGGGCTGTACTGAGGGGTTTAAAACATTTCAATAATCATTAGATTAACCTTGTACTTCAGTTTAGAGTGATCAACTCACATTATTGAATTTTAACTGGGTAGCAGGGACGTCCTAGCACCCAGCCACAAAGGGTTAATACAATTAGAGTGAGAAAAGTCTTGTTACCAGAGGACATGTTTTGATTATTAGATCAGATGAAGATAAAGAAGCAATAATTTTGAAAGTATTTCTGTATTGTTTCATTAAGTCATAGAGTATTAAACAATTCCCCCAAGATACAGGTTGAGAACATTGCTTTAATTTGTGAAACTGTGAGTTGTTTTCTGTGGAGGCAACCATTAAAATCTCTGTTATTTCAGAAGCAATTCCTCCATAATCAAACGGGAGATCAGCACATCATCACTGAGATTTGGTGCTTTGTACAACCTGTGCCTGGCACATGCTTTCCCAGCACTTTGGGGTGAAAGTAAGTATTTGGAAATATTTTTATAGTTGCAACAAATAAAGTTAAAGAGGGTTGAAATGACTAAAACTTTATCAATAGAGGCACTACATCAGCCACTATCAACAGAAAGCTAAATACAGAGCATTAGCCAGGCAAGGCTATGAGAAAATGGAAGGAGATTACTGAAATGAAAATCAAAGACTTGCTCTGTCATTTCTATGATCCTACTCCCTTTGAAGTTAATGGCTAAACTAATACTGACCTCACCAGGAACATGCTTTATTCCAAGAAAATCTGTCAAATGCAAGGGCTCAAGATATTTTCTATCAGGCTTTATGAAAAAGTAAAATAAAAAAAATCCCCTGAACATGGGTGGAGCCAGCAGAATGTGTTCCTCAAAACCAGGGCATCTCCTTTCTCCCTCAATGAAAGTGGTGCCCACATGGTGACAGGTGGGCAGAGATTGATACTGTCAATGGAGTTATATAATAGGTGTCCTTTGCTCCACTGAATTTTCATAAAAATTCTGCAAAGCTAGCTTAAAGCATGCAGAAAATACTGACTGCAACACTTCAGAGTTCATTCCTAACAGGTCTCTCCCATGTGAATTATGCTCCACCACAGCAAAACCAGTAACTGCTAAAAAATGTCAGAATTAGAGCAATTTGTAAGAGTTTCAATTGAACATTAAATCATTCTGATAGAGCAAAGCTGCCCACGCCACAGTCAGAGCTGAGTGGGAACTATCAGCCTCCTGCTCTCAGAAAACTCTCAGACTATCAAACCTGCAGAACTACCAAGTCTTTAATGGAATAGATAAATTTATCTTGTTTACACTTCAGAGCTCATAGATGGTGGAACAATGAAGGAGACAGGAGTTACAGGAAACTGATTCATACCCCACGTCAGGAAACATTTCTCATGCTCACTCAGAGATCAGAACTGTGTGGGCTCAGCACAGGGAATGTGAAACTGCCCAAGAGAGAGGTAAAAGGGTCATTCAAAGAATTCTTAGCTGTTCCTTCTGGTTCTAGTGAAGTGCTGCTCCTATGCAAATGAGTATAGGGCCAGACTGCTAATTATAAATGGGAATTACTGTGCAGCAAATACACAGTTAAAAATAATTGAATGGTTATTGGTAATCATAAATAAATGAATTCTTATTGTTTAAATAATTAAGTGTTATTATGTAAAAGCCTTCTCCATGTCCTAATCTTACTTGTTTCTATGCCCTAAATGATATATTTTCCATTTCCAGTGGAGAGAATTGGAGGGGGTAGCAGGAACACTGAAAGATAAACTAATTCCTTGCAAATCTTCCATATGTATAACTGGAATGGGAATTAAAAGTTTGAAAATCTAAAAGGGATTTTCTGTGCTTTTCCAGTTCAGCTGCTTCATTACACATCCATGCTCAATGTCTGTTGGGGTTTGGTGGTGTTTTTAATCCCAAAGGTAGCCTTGTCCTGCAAAAGCACATTTCAAAACAGTAAGGATTGGGCCATTTAGAATGTAAAAAACTGTGATCCCTTAGAAAACAATATATCCAGGGGGGTGGAATGGGATGGGTTTGAAGATCCCTTCTAACTCAAACCATTCTATGATTCCATGAATGCCACAGAAACCAGAATTCAGGCACATCCTGAAGACGGCTCAGGACCACAGGAAACCCCAATATCATCATCTCTGAGCTACAGCCTTACTTTGAGTGTGCTGTTCTTGGCTGTCAGCTGCTGCTCCAGCTGGGAGATTTGGCTGCTGGAGTTCTCCCTCAGCTTGGTGAGGCTGCCCTGGAGCCTCTGGACGTCTTCGACGAGCTGGGCGATCTCGCGCTCCTTGGCAGCCAGCTCCACTTCCAGGCTGGAGCGAGTCAGCACCTCGATGGCCTGCTCCTGGAGGGAAAACAGCATCAGAGCCAGAAGGGAAAGAAGGGCAGCAAACCTAAATTCAGGGTAGTCAGGCAAGGAGCAAACACAGCATTGGGTGGCACAAGAAACAGACAGCTCCTAAATCTGGGACTTCTGTGATTGACATCGGGAATCTGGAAGATGGAATTTCCTACATCCCAGGACAGCTCCTAAATGTGGGACTTGTGTGATTGAACCTGGAAGATGGAATTTCCTACACCCCAGGACAGCTCTCTGGGAAAATGAGGGTAACAGAGGGAATAAATTTCCCTATTTCATAAGTGCACTGGAAAGATGCAGCAGTGAAAGTCAAAGGATTCTATTTAGATCTATTTATTATTAATAGCCCAAGTGCTTTGACAACTATGAAAATCTGTGCTTACAAAATACTAATCAGATAAAATATTCTGAAGTAATGGAGCAGAATTTCTTAATCAGGAATGGCAGAGCCGTGTGCCTGTGGCTCTCTGCATGTACACTGCACGTTTTGGGCAAAATTGTCAAAAATTTCCCCAAACTGCTACTTCCAATGAACTTGATCCTTGCATGAAAATTGTTCATGTTAACATCATTGCAAGCATCCCTCCACAGGGAAGAAGAGAGATGTGACAGCTCTAAGACAAGGCCATTCTCCCTTTGGTCACCACTTGCAGAAATTCCCTTTCCTAAATTTTCCTTCTTCCAGTTTCCCACAGCTGTAAAATCTGTCCTCAAGTTTGGAACTTCCTCTCTGGACTGACTTCCTGGGAGGACAAGGAATCGGAGAAGACAGAGAGGTCCAGAAGGAGGCAGATCCATGCAGAAAAGATTACAGAGACTAATTGCACCATCTCTGTCTCCTTCTGTGCTGGGAGATCACAGCTGTGATGAGCTGGGGAGCTCTGAGCCTCCCCCATGGAGAATGAGAGGAAAGCCTTGTGGGGGCAGGAGGCAGCCCAAGGAGGGGCACACATTCCATTAAAGAGCTCAAAATGCATCTCACAAAGGTTAATGGCTGTTCCTCAGAAGCCAGTGAAGGTGAGAATCCATTCAGCAAGAGGGAGATGAAGATGGTGAGCACTAAACCAAAGATCTGTGGTGAAAGAGCTGAGAATTCACCCCAGCTACACCCTGACAGCTGAAGTTGACACTGCAGCAGATTGAAATATACTCCATACCCACTTTTCTGGGAATACAAGAACAGCAAAATCCCCTTTTTCATATCTTCTGAACATTCAGCTTGATTCTCAGTGACTACACCCCGCTGCACTCACAGAAAGCTGCATGTACGAACAGCAGTTAACAACACTCTCCTATTACACTGAATTATACTTTTAACTTGAAAAAACCTCTAATTTGCTTGCATGAAACATCACAAGTTGTATAATCATCTGCTGCTTGTGCCTATTGAGACTAGAACGTAGAGTCTGAAATAAGATAGATAATGATCATTTTCATCCTGCAGTAGTTGTCATATTAAATATAAATGAAGTGCAGAAGTACTATTAAATACAAGAAAGACCTAATGTTAAAATAATGATAAGACTAGGACACAAGATAGGAAGAGGCAGGTAATTCAGAGTTACAAGTGATATTCAGGCTTTTTATTTTGTGTTTTGCAGCCTACTTGTCTATCTTTTGACTTCTCTGAGAAAATACTGGGTTGTATTAATAGACAACCAAACAGATCTGGAGGACTTATGGTTTGTTACTCATTCTCTGCAAATGATTTTTAAAGGCAGCCATGTGTTCCTCTGCTATCAGTGTCAAGCATGTATAAGGCTTACAAGGAAAAAAAAGCAATGATTTCTTTTGTTTCTTAAATCTGCTGCTTAGAAGTAGACTAAATTTCACTTAATTGCATATTTACATTTAAATACTCCTATTTCTCCTTTGGCAAACAAAAATCAAAATCATCTGGCTGCTGATGTGTGATACCTGCTCACCCAGGGCCAGCTGGAGCCCTGTACCAACCCCCTGTGCCTGCAGGTCCCATCAGCAGCCTTGGCTTAATCACAACCACACGGAGGAGGCAGCAAGCAGGAGTACAGGGCATCTTCTCCATTTCCCAGGGATTTATAGGTGTAATTCTCAGTTTAGATACAGCCAGTGAAAGCTGGAGTGGTATCAAACTTATTTCCAGTTTGTCTGACAGCCTAGACAGGGACTTAGGAGAGGCAGAGAGGGCAGGGAGCTGTGGGTGCCCTGGGGATGGAGCCCACACCTCTGGGGCCCATGGGCAGGCAGGTGCTGACAGCCACCAAAGCTCTCTTGCTGCCTCCATTTCTCCTCTGCTGATGCTCTCAGCCATGTGAAATGATTTCTGAGAGCTGTGCTGTCCACCTGGAGCAGGGAGTGATGGATCACCACAGAGCCAAGCGAGCTCTGTCCTTGCCGTGGTCTCCTCCAGCCACCAGCCCCCTCAGAAGCTGAACCCGCCACGATCCCAAAGGAACACCCTTCCCTTTTAGTTAAAATATGACTTCAAACAGCTGTTTTTATAGCTGTGGGCATAAATTGAAGGAGCTGTACTGCAGGAATGCCAGAAACCTGTAAGAGTCAGTAAATATTTTCTCTCACCACATCAGGTGCCTTCTGGATCTGCGTAGCAAGCTGGAGAGATTTGTTAGCTGATGAGAGCTGCTCCCTTAAGGTCTCTGCCTCTCTCTGAGCCACCTCTGCCCTCTGAAGGAAATGAAAAGGGGTGAAAAGAGAAAGTACATTCAGTTTAACAACTGACAATTATTACAAGAACATTCATCAATTCATGCCTGACTGAATATAATTGATTTTCCTAAACACTCAACCTAATAAATGTTAGAAAAAAACACAGAATGTGATGGATTTTTATTTTAAACAGTACAAGGAAGAAATAATTGAGCGATTATGACAGTAATTTAACGCTAGGAGCAAGGAATCCCCTGCTGATACTAATGCTGCGGCCCACTGAATTTCCCAGACTGAATAAATACAAGTGGAAATGGAGTCTTTTTATTCAATTTCTTTCTATTCTCATAGACCAAGCAGATTTTATTGCAAGGCTCCTCATGGGAATAATTCTCACGGGTAAATGCTGAATTAAAAGATATTCTGACCACTCTCTCAAACACATATACAATGTTGTTGGCTGTCTTTCTGCAGTAATTATTCCCTAAAACATGAATTGTTAGATTCTTTTCTTTCAGCAGGTCTATTTATTCAACAATATTTAACCCCAAAGTGACAATTTTGCACAGCTCAGGTACCAGCTGCTGAGGATTTATGCAATAGCTGATAAGCCTTTGACTTGGCCACTGGTCAAAATTCCCATCTAAATATTGAATAGTAATAGAAAGGAGAAAGACAGAATGATGAGGGAAAATTGTCTGTACAAGAGTTTGGGTAGAGACAGATGGATCAGTAACTTCAGGCAATAAATAGCAGCAAAGTCCTTTTCATAACTGTCTGTAAGCTTCTGTTAGAAATGGAACAAAACCTGTTTTTTTTACAATATACACTCCTCCTGGCAAGGCTGTCTTCTCTCTTTTTAAAAAAATGTATTTTATTGTTATAAAATGACAATGCTTTCCTCCCTCAGTAATCACTGTTTTTTGCCTGGGCTACTCCATGCAAATCATGCTGTGCTTTCAGAAAATAGACAAAATAATTTTCTATCTCTACTTACAATACCTATTCCCAATTCTACCAAACCCATCAGCTGCCACCAGTGAAGGTCAAAACTTTTATTGACCAGCTGATGGATCCCTTCCTTCATGGAATGACAAATTCCCACTGCCATTTTTGAGCCACCCAAACTTCCACAGACTCCTTGCTAATCCTTTGGAAAATCTAAAATCTAAATATAAATCTAAAATAGTGAATATAGAACACAGAGCAAATATAAAGCCTGTAGTGAATCTAAAATTATAGTGAATATGGAAGCTATAGCAAATATACAACTTATAGTAATATAAAACATATAATGACTATAAAATCTATAGCAAATATTAAAATCTATAGAAAATATGAACCCTACAGTGAATGTAAGCCTTACAGCCCTGTGTGTGTGGTCTCTGACTCCCTCCTCAGTCAAAGCAGACTCTGCATGTTTAATCAATGAGTAAACTAACAGCAATCAAATACTAAACGCATCATCTGCGCTATTTGCTCACAACATTGTATTAAATGATTTTGCATAGGTTCTACAGCTGTAATTAAAATGTGATTGTAAAAAGTACAGTGACGTGGCTCCAATAATCAGAGCAGGGGACACAAGCTATTGTGTGCTTGGAAAACGTGGAAACAGCAGCAAAAAAGGCACAAAAAGAGGGATTTATGTTGTTTATGCGGCTGGATAATATTAGGATAAATACTGAGCTAACAATACACATTGAGATAAATTATTTTCTGCTACTTTATTAGATGTGCAGCTACATATATTGATCTAATAACTGCAGAACAACTCCAGCAAAGCAGGACAAGTTACTACACTGTGGCACTTGCTCTTCCATCTACTGCTGTATAAGTAATGGGTTTTGCAGCCTTGAGCAATTCTGCTGATGGCTTCCATTCAGTGCAGCATTGTTTGGAGAATCTATTCAGCTCGCATGCGAGCAAACCACAGAGGATATTGCTAATAGGTGGTACATCTGCATATACAGTGAGCTGTCAGCTGCCCTTTCTGCACAGCCTCCCCAGCCAATTCCCAACACCTGTTGTGATCCTAGGAATAATACCAGACAAGATTTCATACTAGGCATTGTTAAAAATACATCAGCACACACTCTGGGCAATTCTATTTGGGAAATATTGGTCAATTCCCCTCTTTTTTCCCTCCTCTCACAGAATGGAAGCTTTTTAGAGCCAGAATTACAGATGTGCTCAGTGTCTGGAAAGCACTTGTGGGTGCTATCGCAATATAAATTATAAATGACACAAAAAACCCTGTTAAAAGAATGCTAGTTTCAAATTTGAGCACTTACAAGTTTGGAAAAGCCAAACCTGAGGCTGGTGCTCAGCCCCCCTGTGCTAGGGTTCAGGAGTGGGATGGCACCACACAGGACCTGCTGTGGCTTTTCCAATGAGATTTTCCCACTGAGATGCCCTGCTCCATCAGCTCTGAGAGGAACATGGCTTGGTGAGTGATCTTCTCTTTGTCCTCTTGTTCTCTGTGTGACCCTGCACTTCATTTGCTCCTAGCTAATCCCGCTCCCCTCTGCCGATGGCATTAACCTCTTCCTCACAGGAGCCTTGCTGCAGCACCAGAGGTGCTCCAGGACATTAATACTGCACTGGCACAGTGCAGAGGAGCTGTTTGGGTTCCCTGGCACACCTCCCTGCACCACAGCCCTGGCTGGAGGCTCCCAGCCTGCCAGGAGCTGTCCCTGCCGTTCCTGAGCCGAGACCCTGCGCAGTGGCTGCAGTGCTGCTCCCCTGCCAAACCCTCTGGGTTTGCCTCTTCCACTGCCAGCCCTCTCTGCTTGTCACTCTGTCCCCTTCCTAATTCATTTTGGCTGCTGGAAGCACCATCTCTGTCTCCTCTGTGCTCCACAGCACCTTTAGCTCCAGGCAGGCAAACCCCAGCTTGTACCTCGCATGACCTAATGAACATCCACAAACTTCCAGAATGAGCCTTACCCCCACGATTTCCTCCTTCTTCTTTTCCTCCTTCCTCTTCTCGTTGTTTCTTCTCCAAATGTCCTCACAAACGGTCCTCCAAGTGTCCCTGTCCTGGTGTCTGTCCCCATTCCTTGCCCACCAGGAACCCTTCTCCCCGTCCTGCTCCCATGCTCATGTCTCCAGTCATGGCAGGGGCAGCCTGGGGAGTATCTCCTCTCCTTGTGCCCCCACAAAATTTCACATCACACCCAGAAAAAGCAAAACCTGCCTGGTGGATGCTCACCCAGCCAGAGCAGTGACAGACTGCGGCGTGCCTGGGACAGGCACTGGCAGAAAAGGCTGAACAAATTCAAACCAGATTCTGCTGAGTTTCTGTGAACTCTTTTTTCCAGACTCTTATAGGCTGGCCAAACTTGAGGTTGTTTTTTAATGATTATTATTATTTTTTTATTTTTCTACTTGAAGCAACAGAAGATACAACCCTGAGAAAAAAGGGAACTGTCCCTCATCAAACCCCTTCTATTAAATCTGGGCACAGCAGGCTCCTCACCAAAACAGCAAGAAAAACTCGTAACATCTGGGGGAAAATGAATTTCTTTTTCCTAATCTTCTTTTTAAAAATGGTTGAACGATTTTTCCTGAAGTAAGAAGAAAGAGAGCAGCCAGAGACAGGCGCCCAGTATGGAAAATGGCTAAACCCGAGGAAGCTTGCACAACTTGGAGCCACTGCAAAGCTCACAAAACCTTCTGTTTGTGTGAAACTGTCCCACTTCAGCTGAGAAACACAGAGAGATTCAGAGAATTACAGGAAGGGTTTGGAAGGGATTTTAAGCCCATCCAGTGCCACCCCAGCCATGGCATGGACACCTCCCACTGTCCCAGGCTGCTCCTAACCCCAGTGTCCAGCCTGGCCTTGGGCACTGCCAGGGATCCAGGGGCAGCCACAGCTGCTCTGGGCACCTGTGCCAGGGCTGCCCATCCTGCCAGGGAACAATTCCCAATTCCCAGTATCCCATCCATCCCTGCCCTCTGTCATTGGAAGCCATCCCCTGTGTCCTGGAACTCCATCCCTTGTCCCCAGTCCCTTTGCAGCTCCCCTGCAGCCCCTTTGGGTACTGGATATTCCACAGCACAGTTGCTTTTCAGCAGGCAGTGCTAAAACTCCCAAATCCTATGCACAGCCTAAAAAAACCCTTAATGACCAGTGACAGTCACACTAATGGCCTTGATGAAGCTCATGCAAATCCAGTGTTGCCCAAAATCCTATTTTTCAGCATAGTTCACTCGTGTATTTCCTCCTAATTCCTACCACTGTTTTCTAGTACAGAACTACCTCCCCTGGTAACAAAATATTTCAAAATAGTTCCATTTTCCCTCATATAGCAGGTAAATATTGTACAGCTCACAGTGAAGCCAGGAGGTCATGATTGTAATGCTGCCGTGTGCTTTCCAATTAAAAATAGAAAAAAAAAAAACCTTACACAATATATCCAGTTTAAATTATTCTCCTTGTTTCCTGACAAGATAATGAATAGCATGAACCGAGTGCTCTTCTACTTACAGTAAAATGTTAATTTGATCAAAGACCAGTGGTGTGAACAGCAAAATGAGATACTAATGTGAAAAAAATGTATAACCTTTCCCTTAAAGTTCCACCAGCCCAACTCTGTTTCCTTATTCCATGCTAAATTCAGTGCTGTATGTGGGAAAATCTTCCTATGGGTGAGGAAGGGGTATTATCACAAGTAATTCTGCTGCAGTTAATGAGCCTGGTTATGGCAGCAATCACCATGCTTGGAGCTGACATTCAGACTTGCAAGCTGCTGCAAAAGCTGTGTTTCTTGGAGTACAACATCAATTAAGACACACTGGTTCAATGTGCTTTAATTTCCTAACTTTTCAGATGTAAAAATTTGCTATAAAACCTTAAGATAGCCTTAACTTCCACAGAACTTCAGCAATGTTAGAAGAACATCAGGGACATGAAAGATTTTTCAGGGTTCTGGCACCTATTTTTTCCAACAATGGCGAAATAAATGGAAAAAAAAAGAAAAAACTCCACCAACCAGATGAGGTTGGGTTGTCTT